ATCAGCTACTTCACGATCGAGAAGGGCTCGGCTGCTGACAAGTATTTCCATGCTCACGCACTCTTGCCGAGATCGTCAAGTTCGAGTACCCCAACGGTTGTGTCGCAGCTGGTGGAAGCAGGAACAGAAATACTGTATTTTCGTCTCTCTAGACGCTTCCCTCGATCCTTCTGTAACTCTCAAGGCCGGTATGAGCTTCATCGATATTCATGATGCCAGTAAAGTCGCTCATCTGTCCATTGGAGTGACCTTGAAAAAGAACGAGGATAGTATGCTGAGCCTTACCATCGATGCTGGCGGATGCGCGGTCGTGTTCCAGTATGGTCAACCCGATGGAACCCATCTGAAAATATCTGTATGCATGACCAGCAAGGACCCGGCTAAGAAGAGACCAGATGGTGCGATCGAGGGCGAGGTTGCAATCACCGTCAACTTCATGGTCCACTTGCCGTACGTTGGTGACCTCATCGACTGGGATGTTAACGCCAAGGTTAACTGCACTGCCGCCCTCAAGAACGACATTACAGCATACGGCGTTATCGGCACTTCTGCAAGTGCTAAGGTCGCGTACGCCGCTGTGAGCCTCGACATTACGGCCAACACTCTTGATCATGCGTACAACAAATGGCACTTCGTGTCTGGTGTTGATTTCCACGCTTGGGCGGGTGTGTGGAAACTCAAAAAGCATTGGGACTATCACTGGGCGCTGTACGAGGCCGGCCCTGTAACTATATAAAGTAGAACCCGGTGTCAAGATATTGAGAACTAATGTTAAGATAATGTATTTAGTATCCATAATATGGATTCATATGATATCATATTTCTGTTAAATAGCCTTCGTGGGTCTTAATCAGCTCACACGAGTCCCGCACGATGATCAATGTCATTTCATCGCAGAAAATGGTGTAGCGTTGGTTTTCAGGTAACACTTATGATTCCACTTAAGTTTCTCTATCAACCTCGTTACCAATGTCTCTTGCTGGCTTTATTGTATCTTTACTTGGCGTATATGCTGCTCCCAGCCCGTTGAACAACGTGCGCGTACATGTCACCACGAAGGACTTCTGCAACAAGGACCTCAAAGACGCTCATGGCAATCCGGCGCCTTGCGGTGTTTCCCAATCTATGGAGACTTTCGGGCTCACCCTCCCAGGGATGGAAGACGGTTTTGCGACCACCAGAGAGGATATCATTATCGCTAAGGACGGTCAGGTGTCGATCAAGGCGTTGCCTAACTACCCCTACCAATTCATCATGACAGTGGAAGCCCTCGAGTGCACGCGTGTTGAGCAACTGTACGACCATCAGTCGGTCGTTCTTGTCGATACACCAACTAACAGCTACGCCAAACGCCTGCTTAGTATGGACACTGCAGATCTCGAGGAGCAGGGTTGGATCCACGAGGGAACCGCTGACATCCACGGTGCTAAGATGAGCAGATGGTCTAAGAAGGGGCCTGAAGGTGTCGACCCTGAGGCCGGCACCAACTACACGGCTCTCTATCAAACGGGTCTTATGCCTGACACTTGGGTTCTCTTCGTGGATGAGAACATCCACCAGCCTGTGAAGTTGCTGGCTATCGACACTTATGTTGGCAACAAGATCTTTCAAGAAACCGCCTTTGATCGCTTCGAGGGCCTTGACGAGGACCTCAACGTGGACTCGGCAACAGAAGCCATGTACAATACCTATCGTATTGATTCTCGAAGGCACCTCGGTGGAGGTGTTGGGAACAGTGGTCCTCCGGTCTTGACTGATCATATCGCCCCCGACCTGCTCCCTGAAAGGTCCCGTGTTTTCGTTGAAGAAAACGATCTCGTCGATTGGATGAGTGAGCGTCGTTCGCTCCGTCAGAAGGGCATGTCTAAGGGGATTAAATACTTCACTATTGAGGAGAATTCTGCCGCCGATTTGTATTTCCACGCTTTGGCTCATCGCCAACTGGTGCAAGTTCTCGATTTCGAGTTCCCCAAGGGATGCAGCAGCGGGAAGTCCGCTGATGCTTCCAAAAAGTTTTGCTTGTTCGCTTCAGTGGATGCCTCTCTCGACAAGTCCATCACAGTCAAAGCAGGAATGACTTACAAGGACGTCCTGAATCCTGATATCACCGCCCATTTGAGCTTGTACGTGAATCTCAAGAAGACCAGTGACGCCGCCGTACTCGATCTCGAGTTCGAGGCTGGTGGCTGTGCTGTTGTCTTCCAGTTCGGCGAAGGTGTGAGCCTGTCGATCAACGTCTGTATTTACGGCAAAGCTGGTGGGAAGTCTCTACTTCAGCCCGATAACCGAACCTTCTATGGAGAAGCCGGTGTATCTGTATCGTTCAATGTGAATCTACCCACGGTGGGTAATATCATCAACTGGACCATTGAGGCGAAAGTTAACTGCACGGCTAAGCCTCATAATGAGATATCTGCGTACGGGATGATCGGTACGAGCGTTTCCCTCAAGGTTGCCGGAGCTGGTGTGTCTCTCGACATCAAGGGCAACACTGTTGAACATATCGCAAACCAATGGGAGTTCGCATCCAACGTCAACTTTAATGCCTTTGTTGGATTCGGGAAGTTCAAGAAGACGTGGGAGAACCATTGGGAGTTGTGGCACGCCGGTCCTGTCAAGTTCTGAAACATTGTAGAAGATCGGAAGCTATAGATGAGAGAGGATGATGAATCATCATCATCATTGATGATGGATCGAAGAGTTCTTGATATTAAGTGTATATAAACTACCAGTTCCAGTATTAGAGTATAGAGGCTTTTTGAGATGCCGCGCAGTAGGTGTGGCGCTCGCCTCATTAGCTATGTGGTCCACATAATGTGGATTGATCGAAACTTTCGATTCGAAAGTAGTGGAGACGCAGTTGTCTCTATATGGTTTTGATCCACTATCATACGAATACCGTATCAGTAAGATATGCCATTGTTGGATTCTGAAGAAAGCAATAATACTAGGCGATCTGTGTTATCAAACTTGGGGGCTGTGCCGAGAAGTCGCCTAATATCTGCTGTGAGAGCTATGGAGAAGGCCATAAATGAGACGAAGGGATAT